AATGGCTCACAGGGCTATACCTAATAAATGAACTTGAACTTGACTCAGCCTCGTGAATACCTGGTGCAGTGTGTAAACATTGCTACTAGGGAGACATGCGATCGGGCGTGGTGCTGGCCACCCACCCCCTCGTGTGCCGTGCCAGCCTTCATAGGTACTCTAACATTGGCCCTTACAGTCCGTTAAAGCTGTCCTTGACGTAAATCTGTGTAAAAGCTACCTGGTCTGTTACTCCACACGAAAGCTTCTGGTCTTCACGGGAATGCTCTCCTCTTTCTATGCTTGCGAAACGTGGACCCCCCCCCCCAATGAAATATCTTCGCTGTCTAGAAAAATTTAGGCTGACCTGCCTACGATCCATCCTGGGTTTAACCAGGCTGGATTGTGTGAGGAGCTCACAAATCTTTGAAAAATCTGGACAAAGTCCCATCGGTGAGCTCCTCCTGCAGGCAAGGCTGCGTTGGTGTTAGGTCATGTAACCCGCATACCCAGCCACCGCGTGCCTAAAACAGCTTTTTATTCGGCCATATAGAGGGGGCTAAACTGGCGCGGCACGGGCTAGATAAGATATGGAGTGATTTGGTAAAAGAGAATGTGGAACGGAGTGGATTCGCCTATGACTGGTACCAGCGGTGTCAAGATCGGCCTCTGTGGAGGAGGCTCGTGAAGGACGCTACTGCGCAGTTGAAGGCAGTCGCCCTCCAACAACAACGCAGGGCAGAGGAGCGACGCTCACAGCAATGAGCTGAGCGCCGGGTGACTTAAACACAGCAAATTGACACAGTAGGGGGCACATGTAGTGCATCGGCCAGTCATCTCAGTCGGTCAACCCACGGCACCTGCTGGGTCTGTCCCGTGACCTGACAGCGGGCGTGCGACGCTTCCCGTGGTCTTAACGTGCACATCGCCTGGCACGAGCGCCGTGGTGACGTCACCGCCTCTTGGTGGCGAATGGCTGTTGTTGTTGTTATTGTCGTCGTCGTCCTTGACAAATAAGGGTCACGAAGCAGTCATTTTAAAGAGCCGCATGCAGCTCCGGAGCTGGCAAGATTGCCGACCCCTGGGCTCGATGGATGTGGATTGGTGCTCATGTCATTCCGGGGAGCAACGGCGAGCGCGCGTGCCCTTGGTGCTGCAGAGCCGCCTTCGACAAAGAGAAGAAGGCGGCACCGCCAGGGCCGGATTCGCGCTGTTGGATGCGTCTCTAACACTGGGACCACTCGGTGCATTTCCTTTGTTGTTGTTGAGAGCGGGGGAGGTCTGTGCGGGGCACGCTTAGGGTGCAGGTGACGGCTCTTGTGATTCATTGCTCTTCCTCCCCCGTTATCTACCCACTTCATAAGACACGCCGACCCCCCCCCCCCCCCCCCCCATAACAGCACCAACGCAAACACGCACGCTGCCTCCAGAAAGCGCTGCGAGGTGAAATGCTGCGGCGTTAATTGAAAAATACCTCCACGCGGCTGAAATGCCCGAGTGTTGGTGCCGCGGGCGGGAGAATTTTGACGCTGGTGGGGGGGGGGGGGAGCATATAAGTTTCGTACAACATCAGGCGTCGCTCCGCAAGCGGGACAGCACCAGTCCGGTGTACGCGTGGATGGTATCGCACACACACACGGATCACTTTGCCAGGCCCCCCAAAAAAAGCCGCGTGACATTCTGCAGTGATTTGGTCCATTATTGCCGCGCACAAAATAAGTATCCCCCGCATAGCCTGAAGAGAGACTGTAGGGGCAAGTGCTGTTAGCGAGCAGCACCGATGAAGGCCAGCAATGCCCACGAGGGGGTAGGTGGCCAGCACTACGCCCGGCCGTCTTTGTCTCCCCAGTGGCGATGTGTACACACCGCACCAGGTACTGATTTTGAGGCTGAGGCGACCTAGGGGGGAGGCCCGGGACCGGTTCAGATAATCGGAATCGAACTCGGGTGGCCGGGTTCATAGCGCAGCGCGCTAATCGCTTCACTATCGCTCCCCACCACACATACACACACACAGATACACACACACAGATACACACACACAGATACGCACACACACAGATACACACACACACAGATACACACACACACAGAGAGATACACACACACAGATACACACACACAGATACGCACACACACAGATACACACACACAGATACACACACACACAGATACACACACACACACAGATACACACACACACACAGATACACACACATACACACACGCGCGCGTTGTTTCCACATACACCGGGCGTGCCATGCAGATGTCGTGAGCCTTTGCAAGCGCTGGATTTTCAATGAAGACGTCGCCGGTTCGATCTCCCGGCACTGAAGTTAAAACATTGGGCACATTTTAATGTTTTTAAATGCCGATGTCCACCCAGGCAGAATAAATGTGTAGCCCGAAGTGGCTGGGCAGGTCGGCGTGTAGTGGGGCAAAGTGTTACCACTACCCGCCTCTTCCAAGACATTTTCCCAGCGTGGAGGAGTAGCTCAAGAAATACCCCCCCCCCCCCCCCCCGAGGAGCTCTCTGGCGGAGGGTCACTCTGGCAGCAGCGAGCGGGGCGTGAGCAAAGCGATTGCAAGAGCTGCACCTTTACCAATCTGACGCCAGTGCACAATGAGTTGTGTGCAGTATCACTGCGATTCAGTGTACACCGAACGTATGACAACATCGGTCAACTCGGCCACAGCTTCTTACCAGGCACTGACTGCTGCTGATGTGGCCGAGAAGAGCGAAACCGGTCCAGAGTGACAATACATACGCCACAAAACGAGTGTTTCCAACTGGAAAAAAAACAGGAATCCCGGCAACTTCAACTATGACTATTTATGTTGGCCAGGTAACGCGCACTGAACTTTGCAGCTATTTTTTTTCAGAAGCGACCTGGCAACGCATAACGGCTCGACAAGTGTTTTTTTTGTGGCAATCTATAGCGGACACACTCTCAACGCGTGGCGATTGTTAATGTGGAGGGAAAACAGCGGAGGAGAAAGATCCACGCGACCACGGGGACGGGGTGGGGGTAGCGAGACATTCAAACTCCAAATACACATGCGTCAGGAGTGTGCTGGATACCCAGGAAGCTCCTGCACACCTGGCGAGGCCTCAATAAGGGCCGTCCATAAGTGACGTCACACACTTAGGGGGGGGGCGGGGGGGGTCAAACATTTGTGACGATGTGTGACGAGGAGGGGGGGTGAGAAATGTGACGTCACATCAAAATGCGCAACTTTAAATACATATAGACAACACGTTCTACTTAATTAAATAGACGTTTTAATAAATGTTTTCTCCTACAACATCAGAGTGCAGCGCCACATTAAATACGCACTACAATGGCAATAGTTTAAAGCGATTTGAAGCATGTTTTATTTGGGGGGGGGGGGCGGCAGAGCTTTGTGACGTCATATTTGAGGGGGGGTCTGACTTTTTGTGACGCCGTGTGAAGAGGAAGGGGGGTCAAAAATCGTCCAAAATCGCGTGACGTCATTTATGGACGGCCCCAGAGCCGCGTGACACGGGCACCGGCGCGGCTTGCAATATTTTGCTGTCTTTTCTTGGATTTTCTGTTTGCACTTAGTCACATATTCACTTTAAGATGTTTTTTGTTCGTGTTTTTGTTTTTTGTTTGTTGCGGTTGCACCCGATTCAAGAGCCGAATGGCTCACAGGGCTATACCTAATAAATGAACTTGAACTTGCTTGAATGTGCCGAGGAGCTCTGGTCCGGGAAGGCCGCTCAAGCCTGTGTGGACGGACACGGATTGTACATCGGAGAGATGGACTCGTTGGGGTTTTTTTGTCCACTATTCCCCACCCCCCCCCCCCCCCCCCCCGTTACTCGTGCCAAGAGGCGGCTGCAGGGACCGGCGTTTCGCTCGCTGCACGTGAGCTCCAGTGCGAGATGAATACTGATGGCAAAAGCTCACGGAGGCGAGCTGGAAGGGGGGCGGTGTTTGGATGTGTGTGTGGGGGGCGGAGAGGGTGTGCAGCCACAGCCACCTATGGGACCTCCATCCATCGCATGGGTGGAGGACATCGTGTACAGTACTTGCAGGGCTGTGCGTAACAACAAGGATGCTGCGGCATTGCTACGGTGGCTGGGATATGTTAACTACCTCGCCTGATATACAGGAGGTTGTGGGTTCGATCCCGACCCTGAAACCTCTATTTGGAGATTTTTCTCCGGGTCCTCCGGGTTTTCACTCCGGATTTATACTCAACATGCGTTTCGAGCGTGAAGCGGCTTTACATTTCAACGTGCTGAGCCACTTCGTTGAGATATCATTTATGGCCAGATCGCTTGTGAAAAAGAGCTATATAGCTTAGTGGGTCTTACCTGGTAAAATAAAAATATAGTTTATATTTTACACTGGGCTTGCCATCCACAGGGGCGCCGGTCCCATTCGGATTTCATCTCTCTGCGCAGCAGTTGAACCCATTGGCAAATGTCTTAAATTCCTCCCCACTCCTCCCATCGCGCCTGTATGCTCCAGCAGGAGGATGAATAAACACCACTGCTTTAGTCTATCGGCAGTGGGTGGGGTAAAATGTGGGCACCCCCACCTCTTCCTTAGACGTCTAGTCAGTGTGGAAAAGGAGATCAAAATAACATCGTATAGGGGCTCTCCAGAGCTAGCTGTCGTGAGAGCCCTTCCGCTGGTAGTGGCTTCAGCAGGCAGTTGCAGGGCTGCGCCTTAACATTGTAGCTTGTATATATTAATAATTACCTCCATAATTTAGGTCCTTATCGGTTGGGATGTTTGGTGAAATTCCTTCTTCAAATCAGCTCCACGTTTCCATGTCCACACCGAGCCTGAAGCGGTGGGAACTTTCGTTATGCGGTGCCTGGAGCGGCCAGGTGCTGGACATTCCACATTCTGGTGGCGGGGTCAATTATGGTCGTGACGTTTGTAATTCTCAAACCTGTGCGTCAACTGCAGGCAGCCCCCCCCCCCCCTTCCCTCCCCCCGCCCCTTGCTGAACCGATGGCAGAACGTTTGCCCATTGTCCCACGTTAACTCCTACCCCTCCCCCCACCATTCATATGCAAATTAGATAGAAATTTTAACGCGTTCGAGCATCTATTTATATTAGCACGAAGCAGTACTCGGGCACATCAGTCTGGAATGCTATTGCGCAAATTAGTGTTTTGGCACCCGAAATATTTTTTGCAGAAACCTGCATATGTATTTACATATTTTATTTTGTCAAACCTGTTCATACGATTGTAGGCATGGAGTTGTCAAATAATACAGGACTGTTTTTTTTATTATTATAGATAGGTGGACATTTTACTTTGAGTGATAGTGCCTTACGCCGCCCCCACACTACACGACTGCCTAACAGTGTTTTTTTTTTATTAATATCGAGTGAGAAACTCAGCCCAAATGTTGACCACGTGTGGGGTCGTGAGGACGAGAATAAGAATATTTATACTGGAGAAATCCCGATGAGCTATAAAGCTTTGTTTTTTACACGGATATCCAGCGCATGTGACTGCTCTTGTGTCAGAGTCTGTGTGAAGGGACATTCATTTTACATACAGGACGTGTCTGCGCGGAGCTTCCATACGTAAATACATTTGTGGTGTCGGCTTTTATAATGTACGCAGTTTAATGATAATGTTGTTGATTCGTTTATTTACCGGAAAAGCCTCGCCGAGTCTCTTGGGGCCAGTAAAGTGTTTTTTTTAATCACCCCTGCCCCTTCCTGCTAGCGGTGACACGAGAAGGGTACTTTGCGGGCTTGCGTCTTGACCTTCTGTCTTGACCAGCGCTCCAGCGTTCGGCCAATGACATTCATTCTTTGTTTGGCTCACGGAGAAAAACCCACCACACATTGCACCCGGATCTCCCATCCTCGTCCTAACCAGATCCAACACCGGCTTAGCTTCTGATGTTTGACAACATCGGGCGCGTGTATCGTGATTTGGTCGTAGCTTGCTGTTCGCTTTTACAGTCCAGTGATGGCTTTGCTTGTCCGCTTAAAACGAGATGAACGCGATTTTAAAAATGCATGCGCTACGACATTAGACTTGAACACCGGTGCTTAAACATTTGTTTACACACAACGATGACTACATAGTGGGCGATCGGCGGTGGGGGGAGGTGAGAGAGAGAGAGAGGGAGGGAGAGAAGCGCCTATTTGACGAGTGTTATCAGCGCTGAGACACGGGGCTCGCGTGTGTTTATTGTATGACGTGAGCCGCGCACGTGTTCTACGGCGCCATCAGCTTTACATTCAAACCGCGAGGTAACGCGCGCAAACACACCGACTCTCGTACTTTGTACGCACACTGAATTCTACAAGTGTTGTCCTGTGCGAGCGTACACAAGCACACACACACACATTTGTGTGACCAGGGCTTAATTTGTCACTGAACATGTTTCCAGCACCCCCCCGCCCCGCCCCCCGAGAGGAGGGCAGGAGTGAGTAGGTAAGGTTGTATTTTCCGGAGCTCATCCTTGGACAACTCCGACTGAATTAAGCCCCTTGTATATATGACCCACATCTGCTGCCTGCAAATAAAACGTGTTCTTTTTTTGTTTCGTTACGGACGACACGGACGCGTGCGTTTACCGACGCGAGTGTAAACCTCTAATCGACGACAATAACTTCGCCTCCGCCGTCCTCGTTCAGGATGTCGGAGAGGGCGTTAGTGGCGTGGCCGACGTGGCCGCTGCCCCCATTGACCTCGACGAGCGAGAGGTCTCCTGGCTCTCGCTGCCCAGACAGCTCTCGGCCCCCCCGGCTCTGATCGTCCGCCTGACTCGGAGCCCGCGCCCCGTTCTCCGAGTCTCTGACGCGCGTCGGGCTGCTCGCTGGCCCCGCCGACGCGGCCGGCGTCGACCGGACAGAATCGGGCACCGCCATCCAGAGCTCGTCCACCGAATGCTTGCTCTGCTCCTGCTCGCGTTGGCGCCGGCGGAGGTGGTAGCGGTGGCGGCACGCGGCCAAAATCGAGATGATCACCGCCAGCAGGATGAACACGACCGCCACCACCGTCGCCACGGTCAGCCACGTGCTGTCCGCGACGCCGTGCCCGTTCGACGCGTCGTCCTCTTCTCTCTGCCCCAGGACGCCCACACGCGAGCGGGAAGTTGTCGGTGGCGTAGCCGAGGAGGCGGTGTCCAGGCTCGCGACGGAGCGCGGTCGCTCGTCGCCCCACGTCGTTGAAAGCGACCCCGGCGCGAAAGTCGCGGCGCCTCCGACGACCGCCGCCTCCGAACGGTCCTCGTAGAGTCTGCCCAAGTCTTTGATCATCTGGTCGTAGTCCGCGCTCTCCGTGGCCAGGAAGCAGCTGCTGCCGTCCTCGCCCAGGAAGTAGCCCTGGCCGCAGCCGCAGGTGAAGTTGCCAGCCGGCGCGTTCTCGCACAGCTGGTCGCACAGGCCGAGCTCGCACTCGTCCACGTCGCTGCAGCTCTCCCCGTCCTCGTCCAGCTCGTAGCCGGGGTCGCAGCGGCACTCCGCGTCGCCCGCGACGTCGCCCGTCTCGCAGCCGTGCTCGCAGTTGCGCAGGCTGCACGCGTCTCTGAGCACGCAGCCGCGCGCGTTGTCCGGGTCCACCACGAAGCCCTCCACGCACGAGCACTCGAACGAGCCCGGCGTGTTGGCGCACAGCATCTCGCACGCAGACCACGGCCGCTCCGGGGAGCACTCGTCCACGTCGACGCACGCGCGTGACCCCGAGTCGAGTTCGTACCCCGGCGGGCACGCGCACGCGTAGCCCTCGCCGGGCCCGCCGGGCACGCACTCGTGCGAGCACGGGTTCGACAGGCACGGGTCCGTGGCTACGGCCGGAGACACGCAGGTGCGCCCGTCCGGGCCGAGGTTGAAGCCAGGGATGCACTGGCAGCGGTGACCCCCGCCGCCGTCTCCGTGTGACCCCGGTCTGCAGATGTGGTCGCAGCCGCCGTTGTTGGCTCCACACCCCGCGGACGGCTCCGCCGGCGGAGGACACGACACGCTTGGCGTCGACCATCCGTGACTCTCGCACGTGGACACGGAGCGCGAGGTCGCGCTGCTGCCTGGCTCCGTGTGGTCGCAGTAGACCTCGGCCGTGGAGCCCACCGGCACCAGAAAGTGCTGCGAGCTGGTGGCTCCGAAGGGCGTCGTGTAGACGGCGTGCCCGGGCCCCTGCAGCGCCAGCCGCGGGCACATGTGCGCGTACGTGTACTTGCAGATGAACTCGGTCTGCGCGTTGCAGTTGCCTTCCTCCCACTTGAGGTCGACCTCGCCGGTTTTGCGCACGACGTAGAAGCGGTAGGAGAGCACCACGCACCGCTCTGCCGTGCACGACTCCACCGGCTCCTTGGCCCAGTTGGAGTAGCTCCCCGCGTCGTCGCCGTTCACCCACGAGAAGCCTCGCAGCGCCTTCTTGGGCGCGACGCACTGCCGCCTCCTCCTGCGCAGTCCCATCCACACCTTGGTTTTGGGCGTCTTCTTTCCCTGCGGCGAAGGCGTCGGTCTCTTAGCCTCGAAGCTCGAGATCAGGGTCTCCAGCATCGCGGCCTCCTCCGTGCTCCTCGCCGTGGTCAAGCTGCCCCCCTTGCCCTCGCAGAACTCCTGGGCCTCGTCGAAGTCTCTCTTGCCGAACTGCAGCGCGTAGCACGCGTCCCCCGCGCAGAGCGTCTCCGCGGGCTCCGACCCGCGACACCCCGTGCCGAGGAGCAGCAGTGCCCCGTGCAGCAGCAGCACGAGCCAGCACGCCGCTCTCGGGACCTTCATCACGACGACGATGCTATCCCCCCCCCTCTCCCCACTACCACAGCAAGGCCCAGGTGTACTCCACCCCCGATGAGATGTGCCCTAGTATCCCGGGTCACTCCGCGCGCTCTTGCTCCCCTCTCTCGTAATCGACGAAACCGCGAGTGAGTGTCCGCAGGCGCATGAGAGTTCCGAGCGGAGTTCTACGTCGGCGTGCGAACATGCCCCCACATCCTGCCCAGTTTATAGCTCGGCGAGCTGCCGACCCCCCCCCCTACCCCCGACTCCGTACCCCTGCCAGGACAATATCCTGCCCTCTGTAAATACTCCCACCCACACCCCCCAACACCCCTCCTCCTCCTCCTAACTACTGCGATGCTCCGCACGCACCGCTGGGACAGAACTAATTGACGTCGTTAATGCGGCGCATTTAGCGCACGGCCACCGCGGCGCTCATCCGGCGTGTTCAGCGGGGCCGCGTCGGGCCCCGCGTCCCACCGCCAAAGGTCGTCCGCTCCACCGCGGCCTCTTTGCCCCCAGCCGACGGTTTGACGGCGATCTCCTTCTGCGTCACCGCCGCTTCGCCGTCGCTTCGGCGCCTGGGAGGGGGGGGGGGGGAGTCGAGGCAGCGTTTAGACGAAGGGGGGTGGGGGGGGCAACGAAAAACCGCGATGCGTGGAGTTTCAAACAACGTCGAACGCATCCCCCCCCCCCCCCGGCTTAAGTTTCGCGAAGCCCACGATCGCCGCTGTGAAGAGCTGCAGGCAGAGCCATGCAGAGGTCACAAGCGCACGGAGTTCTGCTGACCGCTTAAATCCCAAGTTTATCTACAAAACAGTCGCGCCGCGCGCGCGCGCGGTTATGTAAGCGAGTTTACATTTCCCAAGGGAAATTCAAGACATTCCCATACATTTTCGAGTGATTCATGGTTTCCTCTGTACGCCCAGCCCATTTCGTTGCGTACAGAAGCGGCGCCAGGGGCAACTGTTTGCCGCTCTCTGGCTCAACGCAGCTCTGCTCATTTTCCCAGCTAAGTTTCAGGCCCAGGAGAGGTTCTCTCTCTTTGCGGGGGTGGGGTGTGATGGAGTCCACCACCCTCTATCTAGAACCTTGTGTGTGTGTGTGTGCATTTATAGCCAGTCGAGAGTGAGCGAGTGGTGAGCGTTCTGTAATATTTAATCATGTTGTCGTCGAGAAAGGAAAGTTCTCAGAGAAACTTTAAATTTGGCACAAATAATAAATCCGAGACTCTGCTTAATAACGGGAACAACATCCGACAATCAAACTTTCACATTTTTTGGGCCCCCAAACATTTTTGCAGAGTGCTCTTACAAATGTGACCTCATATTTCTGCTCACATTTTTTTTATTATTATTCTTGAACTCACCCTTAGGAAGAGTCTGACGCTAAAGCAAATCAAAATCGAGCGAAGTCAGCTCCCACGCACGTCTCTATATTATATATATATATAATGCACAAGCACAGGGGCTGTCATGTTCCAATTGGGTTTTGTTTGTTTGTATTCGCCTGCCGCTGCTCGTCCGTACGTACGAGAGGATGTAACACCGTGTCAATGTCAATACCGATGTCTAAAGATACACAGTGGCTGTGAAGAGCGCACAATGGCATGTGTCGCGTGTCGCATCCTCAGGTCGCCCGGACTGCTGCCGGCGGCTGATGGACGAGGTGAATGTACAGACTCATCAAAGCACTCCCGAGTCTCATCACGCGCGGTCTCTTGCGCCTCGCCGGCTGTCATTAATTGCCACGTTCATTTAAACAAGCCCTCGAAGATCGCGCCATTCTCTTGATTTGTTCGGTGTCGCACCTCGTAACGTGACCTCGTCACGTGACGAGGACGAGCGCACGAGAAGCGGGCGGCACCGCGCGGTTGCGTGGATGCTCGGGACCGGAGGTCTAACTCCGTTGAACGCTCTTGTCGCTGTTACCATGCTCTCGTTTTGATGCGGCGTTAGCAGTGGTGCATGAGCGCGAAGGACACAATCTCAACACCTTCGTGGGAGCAAGCAGAGTGATTGCCAGAAACGTCGCCTGGTATATATAAAGAAAAAAAGAATCACTTCGATGGCCAAGGTGTTATTGACGAATGTGTTCCATCTGTAGCGGAACTACATTATCAGCTCAGGGGATGTGCACCGTAGCCTGTTATACATCACGGCTCCTCTTGCCTCATCGCATCGTGCCGTACGTGTTCTTGTCTTTTTATACCGTTGTTGTGAAGATATATCTCATGGTGCTTGTGAAGGATGGGAGGGGGGGCCCACTCGTGTCTTTGGCCACCAGGGGCGAGGCCAAGGCACCCCTTGCCCGCCCCGCGCTCGCTCCGCTGCCGCTGGTGCCCCGTGTCTTGCGAGAGGCGCGCGAGGAGAGAGGCGCCTGTCAGCGCTTGCACTCTACCCGGTGCGCAGGCGGTGCAACTGCACCGGAGCGCACGGGCGCGTAGGGGCCTAATAAGGCGCAGGGGCAAAGACGAAATGCGGTGGAGAGAGGTGATTGGTGGTGGTGGTGGCGGTGGCGGCGGTGGCGGTGGTGGTGGTGGTGGTGGCGGTGGTGGTGGTGGTGGCGGTGGTGGTGGTGGTGGTGGGGGGGAGGAGATGTGTAAGTTGATTCATGGCCCACGATGCCACAACTTACACAATGCACTGATCGTCACGGTTACGGGGATGTGATCCGATTTCGGAATGTAATAATAGTTTGTGTTGTTTATCGGTGTGAATCCTTGCACGTAGCGGCCACCAATGGCTGCAGGGGTCACATTGAAATCACGTTGTCGTTTCGGATCGGTCTTTAAGTCTCTCCCCTGCCCGGGAGGTTGTCCTCCTCTGTCCAGCTGGGCCAGTGAAGAACTCCTCACGCACCACCGCCCAACCAGCGCCACCGCCTCGCGGCGCTTACAGTGCAATGCGCATTCCTCCTCGGCGGTCGTCAGCGCGCGATATTTAATTAAAGTCGTCGGCCTTGTTGCTTGAATAGGGACGAGGATATATTTAGCCGGCCAAACACTGCCGATGCTGCTGCTGCTGCTGCTGCATCTATGCGTGTCGCTCAATAGCATCGCCTATTGAATGCATACCGCTGATTATTAGCATTTTTTTGTCTTTTTCCTTCGGTCCAAATCAGCCATCCGAGCCCATTTAGTGCCGTATTGAGCCGCGCTCGGCGTTGCTTCATCGATTGTTGCGCGACGTCGCTATCCTATCATCTGGGGGCGCACATGAAAAATGTTGATCACAACAGAAAGTTTGGGGGGGCGGGGGCGCAGGGTGGGGGCGCGCATCGAAGGAGCTTCTCGTCACGCGAAGACTCTTCGACTGCAGCGAGCGGAGATCGGTAGTCATTGCATGGACAATCTACTGCTGGATTTAAACATATATTTAGGAAGACTTGATGACGCCGCGCCGTTCGTGCGAGTTTTTTTATTTGACCGTACTTCACGTGTCGGTGAAGGAGAACGCGAGGCCCGTGAGTGGTGGCACGGAAGCCGCTCGACACTGATGCTCGCTCGCCGTGGCCGGGAAGAGCAACGGAGGTTGTCGCTCGGTGCGCTAACCGCTGCGCCACCGCTCCGCCACCACCTCCCAAAGTCATCATCGTGATCAGCCATGATCTGCTGGATGAAGGCTTCCCCACGCCGTCGCCAATTCTCACGATTACAATTCAGTTCGTTGTCCTTGCTCCGCACCTCCTCCGATTGCCACGGTTGGCTACGTACGGTGCGAAAGAAATTCAGCATGCACGTGTTCCTTGAAATGTAGTAACCCGAATAATAATCGACCGAGCGCCTGCACACGAGCTGATTTAATCGCTCCGTCTCCTTCTGTGGACGTGCCCTCGATGTAATAACCCCGGCCACTCCGTTATTTTCCTTCACCATCCCCCTCCCAGCAATTTCTTACAGCAACGCGTCCTGCCTTGGGCCCACTTTTCTCTAACAGTTTTAATGAAGCCATTCGTCTGACAGTTCCCCACAACAGAGATAGGTTTAGCCGGCAACAACGATTTTGTGAGGAGGGTTGGGGAGAGGGTGGTGAACGGGGGTGGACGTTCGTGTACCCATCTCAATCCGCAACATTCCATCCACCCGTCTAGACACCCGAGCCCATTATCCGCCGTGCAATCGCAGGGGGTGGAGAGGTGGGAAGGGACGTGGGGATTCTTGTTGAGGGATGGCCATGTCGAGACAGGGATGTGTGCATTTGTTGGGCCCTCTGCAGCGAGGCTACAATGCACTGTGGATGGTTTTTTTTGTATCGGGGGACGTCGAACGATAACCGGTAATTATTCGTAGACTCGGTCACCGATTGCTGAATCGGCCCTGGCAGTGAGGACTTTATCCGCTGCAGTCAAGGCAAAGCACTGGTTGTGAGTGAACATCAGAATATTATTTATGTATCCAAGAAAACCATACTGAATCCTGTAAGTCATTTTCAGGGGTGTCCTACATCGGGTTTGAAATTTAATATGATTCCAGCCAATAAATGATGCGTTGTGTTTATTGCACGTGAGGGATGAAACCGGAGCACCCGGAGGAAACACACGCGCGCCAAAACGATACAGCACTCTATCCCCGTACAGATGGAAACAGATTGAGATTATTCCACTTGCAGTGCTGCCTTATACTGGCGAGCCAGGGTATGGCACCTACTCGGCACTTACAGGAATTGAGTCTCACGACGTTTGTGAGATCCATCAACCTTTATGCAACGAGAACGTAAATAAGCACCACGGTGGCGAGGAGATGTTAACTACCTCGCCTGGTATACAGGAGGTCGTGGGTTCGATCCCGACCCTGACGCCTGCTGCTGTATATTTGTAGTTTGTGTCTCTCTCTCATCATCATCACGGTGGCGAGGAGATGTTAACTACCTCGCCTGGTATACAGGAGGTCGTGGGTTCGACTCCGTCCCTGCCTGACGCCTGCATACGTCTCTCCCCGTGGTCGCGTGGATTTGTCTCCAGGTCCTCCAGTGTCCCCTCCACATGTATAAACACGTGTTTAGGGTATTTGTCTGCTATACATATCCACGTGATAAGCCACTTCGGTGAGCTATAATTTGTGTGATAGCCATGTCGATTCTGAATACGAGCTATGCTGTATATTTCAGTGGGCCTTACCTGGTAAAATAATGAATATAACATAGTGAAATAGTTGAAGCAGAAAATATACTTCACTCCCAC